AAAGTAGACCAGTGTTTGCCAGAGGCTGAGAGAAAGGGGGAATGAAGAGTAACTGGTTTCTTTTTCGGGCAATGAAAATATTCTAAAATTAGATAGTGGTGGTGGTGATAGCTTTGTGCATATACTAAAACCCACTAAATTATGCACTTTAAAAGCAGGAATTCTGTGCTATGTGAATTACAACTTAATTTTTAAACATTGATGGACAAGAGAAAAAGATTTCAGAGTCTTACTAATTAGTAATAATCTATTAACTTCATTTAGATCCCATTTTAAACAAACTATAAAATAGAAAAAAATCATGAAAGGAGAAATGTTAAAACTAACTAGATATTAAAGATACTAGTGTTTACAGAATCCTAAATGATTAATGGATGCTAAGACAAGTAGGTTAAAGTTTGACCAAGAACAAAAAGCATTTAGCTCTGGCCCATGTGGCTCAGTTGGTTGGAGCATCATCCTATGAACTGAAAGGCAATAGGATTTGATTCCCACCAGGGCATAGGCCTAGGCTGCGAGCTCATCCAGGTCAGGGAGCATGTGAGAGGCAACCAACCTATCGATGTTTCTCTCCCTCTCTCCCTCCCTGCCCCTCTCTCTACAATCAATAAGCATGTCCTCGAGTGCGGATTAAAAAGAAAGAACAAGGTATTTATACAGTTGCCACTTATCTCCCCACAAATAACTTACAGAACACAAAGAGACATGGCATCCCTACAAAAACACCTAACCTGAATCTATCATGAAGAAACATTTGACAAACCAAATTTGAGCCATATTCTACAAAATAACTGGCCTTTCGTCAAAAATGTTAAGGTCAAAAAACACAAAGATGAGGAACTGGTTTCATATAAAGAAGACCTGACAATAAAATACAATGTGTGAGCTTGGATTTTATTGTAGACTAACAAAAGCTATATATAGCTATAAAGAACACCATTGAGACATAGAATTTGAATAAGGACTGTGAGATAATAGTCTTGTGTAAATATCAGATTTCCTGACTTGTTTACTATACTGTGGTTATGTAAAAGAACTTCCTGCCCTTACTGGTATGGCTCAGTGGGTTGGGCGTCAGCCCCTAAACAGAAAGGTCACAGGTTTGATTCCAGGTCAGGGCACATGCCTGGTCTGCCTGCCAGATACCTGGTTTAAGGTAATCCATTGATGTTCCTCTCACACAGTGATGTTTTTCTCTCCCTCTCTTTCTCCCTCCCCCTTCTCTCTAAAAATAAATAAATGAAGTCTTTTTAAAATGTTTTAAAAGAATTTCCTTGCATTTAGGAAGGACACACTGACATTTCCAAGCTATTCTCAAATTGTTCATGAAAAAATACAAATTATTTATATAGAAAAACGGTGACAAATTCAACAGGGCAAAATGTTAATTTGCTAAATCTGGATATAGGGCACTTGAGAGTTCCTTGTATATTCTTGGCACTCACTGTAAGTCTGAATGAGGTCCTATCTTTTAGAAATACATTCTGAGATATCTATAGATGAAATGGTAAAATTTCTCTGATAAGCTTAAAATTATAGAGCAAGTAAGTAGGGGTCTAGACCAGCAATTTTTAACTGGTATGCCACAAAAATTTTTTAAATATAATACCTATTTCAGGGGATCTGACCACTTTTCCCTTAGATTGTCAAAAAATGACAACAGCTAACACAACAATAGCCATCTGCTGTGAATGCCCTGTAATCATAAATATATAGGTCATATAATAGTGTTTCATCTTATTGGTCACATTGCATTAATAAGGTTTCATCTGATTGGTTAATTCTTGGTATCAGATATCCTGACATAAAACTAGAGGCACCTGATTTTCTAAAATAGCACTTTGGAGCAAAAGGGTAGATAATTACTATTATTAGGGGGTTTTGTTTGTTTTTTTGTACAACAATCAAAATTATACTTACTTTGTCAGATAAGCAAAAAATAGACTTTTTGGTGAGTTGCGGCATTTTAGTAATGAGTTTTCTGTGCCATGAGATGAAAAAGGCTGAAAATTGCCGGTCTGAATGAAGCAATTGGTCAGGTATTAATAACTGTTAAAGCACAGTAATGGACACCAGGTGTATGATGTCATTCTCTGTACTTCTGTATGTTTGATAATTCCTGTAATCAAAGCTTTAAAGGAGTCTATAATGAAAAGTTTCTTAAATGGATCAACTAAAGTTCAGTAAAATTAACTGGCATTCCACACACAGGATTCCAATTTTGAAATCTTTCTAATCTATGACACTCTCCCCATTAATCCTTCTGTAAACCTCTTTATAAAGTGTGAACTATTCAGGCAATTTTATTTGTTCTCCCCACCTTAAGTTTTAGTCAATATCAACAAACAGAAAGACACCTCTAACTCCAGCATACTAAGCTATATCAACAAACAGTGAATGAAAACAGGTCAACGTAAACAGAAGTCATCCACCTAGGGAGATGCTCTGAAATGATTGAGGAAGTTAGAAACTCCAACTGACGGTTGTTGAGCACCCACAATGCACCTTTCCGTGGGTCCCTTAATCCTCACAGCAACAACGGCACAACGTTCTCCCGTTACTTTTTAAATTGCGTTACAATACATATAACATAAAGTGAGGTAATTTCTTCAATCCCATCTAACAGATGAAGAAAATGGAAATGAATGAGAAGTTAAGAAAATTTTCCAAAGCAAGCCACTAGCAGCAAACCAGAATCTGAACCCAGGTCTTTCTCTACACTGCACAACTGCCAGTATGTAATTTGATTGACTCAAGTCTCTTAAAATTTGGTTTCTATGAGTCAATCCCCAAAACCCAATCAATTTTGAAAATACTGATTTTCTGTATACACAAGTCTAAAATAGCCCCCAGGTACAGGCATGCTGAGACCCTCCAGGAAGGGTCAGCAAATCCCTTAACAATCTTTACATTTCACTACTTTCGCAGTAACAACTTAAGAAGCTGCATTAGCAGCTAAATTAAACCCCAAAATACGTGAATATAAATGAAGCATTTTACCTTTCTTAAGTTTATGTTGTAAATGGTGAACAAAATGCAAATAACTTCATGTAGACACTTGACTACACATTGAATTTACAGAGTTTGGATAATAGCTAAAATAACTGATTAGTATGTCATTCTAATAAGCAATTATTTTGCCTACTCTATGGAGTAGCCCATTCTTTGCCTCACTGCTTCACTAATAAACTCCCTTTAACTTAAAAAAAAAAGCAATTATTTTGGTCACATACATATGGGATAGACACGAATGCCCTGAATCTGTCAATATAAAATTTGTAAATACTACACAATCTGTATCATAATGAATACTTTCTATATAAAAACAGAAATTTAGAAACACTATGAACTACACAGCAGAATACGTAATAGGAATTTAACTCATGAGACAACCGATCTGCCCGTTTAAACCGGCAGCGCGGCGGGGGAACAGCTCCCTAGCAGACAGAAGAGAACAAAGCACGCGTGCACACAGCGGCCTCCCTCGCCCAGCCCCACATCGCCTCTACAGCTTCAGGGTCTCCAAGACCCACTACAGATCACAGTGTCACACTGAAAGATGGCTTTCAAAATAAAGTACTTATTGTCTGTATATGCCTTTCTTAAAAATAAATCATTTTAAGACTGTTGTTTTAAAAAAAGATGCTAAAATATATTAAAACCGTTGATTGGACAAAAAACAAATAAATGCAATACAAACAGATTATACTACAAATAAGTGCTTAGGTGTATTTACCGACTACATTTAAATTTTTTTTTAAATTTTAGCCCTGCCTGGGTAGCTCAGTTGGTTAGAGCATCACCCTAGTGTGCTATTGCTGTGGGTTCGATCACCAGTAGGGCACACACAAGAACCAACCAATGGCCCTGGCTGGTGTAACACAGTAGATTGAATACCTGCCTGCGAACCAAAGGGTTGCTCGCTGGTTTGATTTCCAGTCAAGCCACATGCCTGGGTTGCAGGCCAGGTCCCACATATGGGGCACGTGAGAGGAAACCACATACTGATGTTTCTCTCCGTCTCTTTCTCCTTCCCTTTCCCTCTCTCTAAAAATAAATAAATAAAATGTTTACCAAAAAGAAGATCAACCAATGAATGCATAGATCGGTAGAAAAACAAATCAATGTTTCTCTCTTCCTTCTTTTAAAATCAGTAAATAAAATTTTTTTAAATAAGAATCAACCAATGAATGTCTAAATAACTGGAATGACAAATTGATGTCTCTCTCTCCCCTTTCTTCTATCTCTAAAATCAATTCTTTTAAAATTTATTTATTTTTAGAGAGAGGGTAAGGGAGAGAAAAAGAGAGGGAGAAAAATATCAATGTGTGGTTGCCTCTTGTGCGCCCCCTACTGGGGACCTGGCCTGCACCCCAGGCATGTACCCTGACTGGGAATCGAACCAGTCACCTTTTGCTTTGCAGGCCCACGCTCAATCCACTGAGCTACACCAGCCAGGGCTAAAATCAATTTTTTTAAAAATGTTTAAAGGAAGTGCTCAGAGCTGTTATCTACAGGAATGCATATCTAAATATCACTTTGCATTTCTTTTTCTAGCAATTTTTAATGCATCCCTAATACTATAACCACATAATTAATACTCAAGATTTTTAAGAATGTAAGTATTATCTAGTTATTTACAGACAGGAAAAAAGTGCTCCAAGAAAATGCCAGTGAAGTATAAATTTCCTGACAGTTATACACTCAAACCACCATCGAAAATGAGACATGGCAGAACACTGCTCTGATTGTCTGCTAAAGCCTACTTGCAAAGACTTCTATGTCAACATTTTGACTAATTAGGAAACATATGATGCAACCTAAGAAATACACTAAAACCAATCACCACCCCAAAAATTACTCCCATCTAAACTAAGAGGAAGAAAAATGGGAATGCAAAAAGCTACAAGTAACAAAAAAGTATTTTTCCACACATTATGGAAAACAAAAGACTTGACATTTTTTTTATTAATCCAAGAAAAAAAAAACAATTAACTTACTAGCATGCTTGTCTGCAAGCATTATAAGCGTGTTGGAAATATCTCGTCGTCTATAAAAGCATACTACTTTTGCTTCCACGTTGCCAGTTGCAGTCTAAGAAATAAGAAAAATAAAAGTCATCTGTACTGAATATTAGATTCAAATAGTTTATAGAACAAAACTAGAATACAACACAATTATAAAGTCACACTCATCTTTACACTGTGCCAACCACAACTGTAGGATAATCAGAAAGCTAAAAATTTCAAATAAGGATGAACAACACTTGTTCGGGGTCCAAGTGACACTAAAATGTCAAACATAAAATAACTTACTGGCATCAATTAAACTAAAGTGATCAGACCATTTTAATGAATAAAGCCAGACATAGTTAAATCTGATTAGCCACGAGAAACTAATCCCCAAAACTTCAACAGCCACAACAGAACTTATTTAAGACAGTTAAACATATCTCCTGCAAAACCACTCCCAGAAGCACTGGCTAAGAGTAAAATCACCCAGCCCTCTCCTGAACACCCCACAGTGGACTGATGATGAAGCCCTGCAGGTGCAGGCAGCCATCAGGCCGAATGGACCGAACGACTTGGAAAAGCAGTCTCCAACCCAAGGGAGTCTATGAATCCATAATAGTCAATAATCTTAGTAGTACTTACTTTCCCTTCCCATATGAAAGTATTAAAAACCTTGAGTTATAAACCACTGAAGCTCTTATTTCTTTCTGACTACAGTCTAGAATACAAATCAATATTTAGTTAGGGTGTAATTTACTGCAGCTGGGGCCCAGGCTCCAACTCTCCTGTTCTTTATGAATTCTGAGAGCTTTCAAGAAGGCCAATCATTCATTACAAAGTTCTTTGTAAAAACACATAGGGCACAATAAAAAGCTATTGTGATTTCCAATTTCAAACACATTGAAAACAGATTTTCAGAATTTCTCTGGGCTTACAGATATATTTAAACATAAAGAAATAAGAATATATATGTGCTGCAGTAAATTTGTCAATTTTGTGAAGCTCAGCAGCAGTTTTAGAGTGAAAATAAGTCTTATAGAAATGCTGCCCCTTAAAATTGAAATTATATTAAATCCTAACCAAAGTGCTTCTAGATTTCACAATATATGATCAAATATATCCTTCAGAAGTAATGATCCAGCAATCTGCGAAATGAACAAACCAATATTTCCATGTACATAAAATGTATCAATGACTTCAATTATAGCTCTTCATTGTTTTTGTCTTGACACAAAAGTATGTTAAAAATCCAAAACACGAGTTTCAAGGCATATTTTTCTTCTGACTCACCAGCGACGTCCTTCCACAGGAATACTCTACAAACCTAATTAAGTTCTTATTTAAACCTGCATAGGATGGAGAGGCATAGTCCAAAATAAATAACCTCTTCTAACTTGTACACCCTTGGCTATTAGGTTGTTTACAACCAGAGTATTCCTCTACAATACACACACACACACACAACCCTCAAGCATCTACCCAAACAATGAACTACCCAAAGTGTGGTCTGAGGCCCAGTCCACACTGTAACTGTGTAATGAAATGAGTATTATGGAATTTCAGAGTTAATTTTATAACTATTGAACCTAACAATGAAAAATGGGGGTTGTATTGTTATAAGCCTATTTTAAATTTCATTTTTCTTTTTTATTTTTAGAAAAGCAGTCTAAGATAGTGAAACTTCTTTACCACAAACAGTATGAAAAAGTACTGCTCTAAAACCTAGGTTAAATATTTGACATATGTAAAATCTGGGTGTGTGTATGTGTGTGTGTGCATGTGTGTACACATTCAAAGAAATATATATTTACTAAAAACTTTTTTAGCCCTTCCTACATGCCCCAGCACTAGGCCAAGCACTGCAGATACATGGTGCCTGTCCTCACTAAGCCTCCAATCCAGTAAGGATGCCTGGTCACATGTCATCTCCTCTCCAAACCCTCCAAAACCCAGCTATAATCTTGTCCCTCACCTGATTAGAAACTTTCAACAATTGCCCACAACTAACACATAAATGTAAAACATCCTTGACAATATTCCCCACACTATTTTCCCTTACTTTCTCCTCTCCCCTTCAGACTCCACTTCTCAGTCATAGAGACAGCAAAAGCTTCATGGAAGAAGAAATGGGGTGGAAGGATCCTTGACCACTAGGAAAAAAGGAAAGGAATCCCAACAGGTGAGGCCTGGAGGACTACTAAATTGTCTAAGGGAAAAAAAAAAAAAAAAGGCCCTGAGCAAAAACCCACACGTGGGAAAAGTAGGGACATGTATAAAGAATAACCCACAATGGTCCTGGCTGGTGTGGCTCAGTTGGTTGGAGCATCATCCCGTAACCTAAAGGTTGCGGGTTCAATTCCCAGTCAGGGTATATACCTAGGTTGCGAGTTCAAACCCCAGTCCCGGTAAGTTTGATCCCCATCCGGCACCTGTGGGAGACAACCAATGGATGCTTCTCTTTCTCTCATTGATGTTTCCCTCTCTCTCGCTAAAAGCAACGAGAAAAGTTCTCAGGTGAGGATTTAAAAAAAAAGAACCCACAAAGAACACCAATTTCTTTTCTCCATTTAGGTCGTAGTCTCTTAAATCTCTATTCTGTCAAACAGGTCTATCAAAACATCCTCTCGCAATAAGAGTCTATCTTAAGCTCTAAAACCATTTTAGTTGCCTCATATTCATATCTGTTTCTATCCCACACTTAGAAAATACATTTTTTTTCAAAAAATTTTTTTTTAAAAACCACTTTCTATTTTCAGAAAGTCCATGGTTTACCCAAAGTAAAGAGCAAGTGGAAAGCCTTGACTGGTGTGGTACAGTGGGTTGGGCGCTGTCCTGCAAACTGAAAGGTCTATGGTTCAATTCCTGTTCAGGGCACATGTCTGGGTTACAGGCCTGGTCCCTGGTTCGAGCCGTGCAAGAGGCAATCAATCATGTTTCTCTCCCTCTCTTTCTCCTTCCCTTCCCCTCTCTTAAAAAAATAAAAAAAGGAGCAAGTGGAAAGGGACTTTCCTCAACTGGCCAGTGTGGCTCAGTTGGTTGGAGCATTGTCTAGTAACCAAAAGGTCAGCAGTTCGATTCCCAGTCAGGGCACACGCCTAGGTTGCAGGTTTCATTTCCCCAGCTGGGATGCATGCAGGAGGCAACCAATCAATCAATATTTCTCTCTCGCTCTCTCATGAGAATAAAATACACCTTTATAAAATAAATTTTTTAAAAAAGGGACTTTCCTTTCCCAATTTCTGCCCTTATTCCCAAAAGATCCCAAATGGCAGGAGAGGTATTAACCTGCATTCCATAAAAGGGCTTTGAGGGAATCTCCTGAAATTATGTGCAAATGTAGATGGGGGGGTCATCAGATGCTTAAAGAAGTCAGTGATTCCTTCCTCCCACTGAAAGAAAAAAAAAGCCCTTTTACAAAATGAAAGCCCCAAAACAAAATGAATCTCAGACTAAGTTGGAAGATTAATAAAATATGCAGAATGTGAAGGTACATATAAACTACACAGTATACACACAAAAAAAAATCCCAATAACAAACCACATGCTATTTTATCTACAATCACACCTTCCAAAACTTCCTGAGAATACATCCTCAATGTTATGTGCAGAAAGATTTCTTTCAACATGTATGTAGGCTCCATCTTTAGAAGCAAGACCAACACCCAACCTAGACAGTGACTAAAGAAAATTTACCAAAAAGGTGTTTTCTATTTTAACCTTACATTCTTCTTCCAAAAGATCATCTTAACTATATCCGTGTATAAATAACAATACCGAACTGTGATTATCAACTGATACTTAGTTTTGCACCTAAAAGTTCACAAAACTGCCCTGGCTAGTGTAGCTCAGTGGATTGAGAGCCAGCTGTGAACTGAAGGGTCACCAGTTCGATTCCCAGTCAAGATACATGCCTGGGCTACTAGCTTGCTGAGTTGCAGGGCAGGTCCCCAGTAGGGGGCACACGAGAGGCAACTACACATTGATATTTCTCTCCCTATCTTTCTCCTTCTCTTCCCCTCTCTCTAAAAATGAATAAATAAAATTTCAAAAAATAAAAGTTAAAAAAAAAACTTTTCTGGAAAAATTGAGGCTAAAGTCTATAACTGTAATTTTAAAAAGAAGAAGAAAAAGACAAAGAAATACTATAATCCAGCTTTCCCCACTTCGTCAACTTGACCTCTGAGTAGTCAAGGCCTTTCTGGAACATTCTTATAGCCTCTGCCATGACTACCTCTTCCTCATCCTTTAGGCCTCAACTTCAATGCACTTAAAATCCTTTCCTTCTCTGTCCAAAAGAACTGACCAGTTGTTATTCCTTATGCAAGGCTGTTGCATATTTCCTCCTTAGGAGTTAACACTATTTATCACTATTTTCTTTATGCCTGATAACATCTTTTCATGTGTCTCCTTCATCTCCTCCCTGAGAACACAGACTTTGTGAGGGCAGGGACTATATCCATATTGTTCATTATTATATCTGAGCCTAACATAATTCCTAGTACATAATAGGTGCTCAAGAAATATTTGCTTAATGGATTATTTAAAATGAGATCTCTTTTAGGCCTGGCCAGGTAGCTTAGTTGGTTAGAGCACCATCCTGATATGCCAAGGTTGCAGGTTCAATCCCAGTCAGGGCACATACAAGAAGCAACTAATGAATTCATAAATAGGTAGAACAAATCACTGTTTCTTTCTTTCTTTCTTTCTTCCTCTCTCTCTCTCTCTGTCCTCCTCAACTGCTTCCTCTCTAAAAATCAATGTTTTTTTAAAAAAGATATCTTTTTCACATCCCTTCAGAAATAAAGGCCCTCTATGAATATTTAGTACTTAACTAGCCAATTTCAGTTGTTTACCAATACTCCCTCCAGTCAAACTGCCATTCTTGAAATAACAGAGTCCTACTCCTCATGGTTCAGTCATCTCCAGCCCCCAAAGGACAATTATTACATTAATGACTCTTGGCTGAAAGCTGAGGGGCAGAGAGAAGGTGAGGAATGGTGAGTGGGGAGGGGTACTTTTGAAGTGAATGGTAATATAAAGGAGTGTGAAATGATCCAGGTTCAAGCTCAATGGGTAACCCAGTCATTCCACTGTGTGCTTCATGACTATAATTCATAATGCATCTGCCTTAATGGTTTAAGGTTATTATGAGGCTCAACAGAGGTAACAGATGTGAATCCCTAGATTATATACTTCCTAATGTTTATAAATTTAACACAGTTGCTATTTCCTTCGTGTCTGTCTCCATTTTTTTTTCTTCAGCCTTGAATTCCTAACAGTGCCTATCTAAAAGTGCCTGACAAGTGGCAGGTTCTCAGAAATATCTGTAGAACAAATGAATCAAAATACTTTGTAAACAGAAAAACTATGTACAAGCATTAACAGGAGACATTTGAGAAATCCATTAATTCAACAAATATTTACCGAACATCATAACTGTGGGCCAGCCACTATTCTAAGACACTTGGGATGATGCATTAGTGAACAGAGAAAATCATTACACACACAGACCTTACATTCTAGTTTGGGGAAACAGGCAATGGAAAGACACAATAATTACATATACTCAATGGTGATAAGAGAATGGAAAAAAGAGCAAGGTACAGAAGAATGGTAACAACTAAATGGCTCTAAGGAGGGCACGTGTAAGAAACACGTAAGCACTGTCTACGGTGCTGGGGGCCAAACGAGCAAAGTGCAGAGCAGCAGGAGTGGCCATCCGACAGGGACAGTTCCGCCCACAGCCTGATCCAGTCCTGAGCCACTGTCTACATTTGGTGGTGGTCGCAAACACTACAGAAGTTTTGTTTTATTTTCTTTTTAACATTATCCTCAGACATTTTTTCATTGCTTTTAGAGAGGAAAGGAGAGACAGAAACAGCAATGCCAGAGAGAAGCATTGACTGGTTGCCTTCCATATGGGCCAGGATGGAGGATCGAACTCCCAACTTAGGTGTGCCCTGAGGAAATCGAACCCACAACCTTTCAGTTACAGGATGACATTCCAACCAACTGAACCACACTGGCCAAGGCTGCAGAAGTTTTAAAAATGCATGGCTCCTACTGTAATCCCAGAAGCAAACCAAAATCTCAAGGTTTGTAGGCCTGGAATGTCCTTGATTATACCTGGCTTCCTAGGACTCAGAAATGGACCAATCTCTACATGGTATTTTGTGGGAAAGGCATCAAGTAGACAGCCTCAAACATTTTAACACTATGAATTTTCATAAGCTATACAAATAACCCTCAAAGTGGTTTGCAGGAAACCAGAGCGTCATTAGAAATCTATGGTTCACGTAGTTTTTGAATGTTTTGTGTGCCTCCACTGGAAAAGCTCATCTACTACAAAGTCTTAATGCTTCTGACGTCCTGAACACCTGTGATCAGAGACAAACCTTAATGTAAAAGTTTTACTTACTTAAGCCTAAGGTACAAAGTCAGTTTATATTACGTATTACATCAAAGCTAGTTAGCCTAGTCCAGAATTTTACAAATTCCCTTCAATACTGTATTTCCTAACTTCCTCCTTTTAAAGCTGAAAGAGGACAAAATTAATTCACTAAAAAGGGAGAAGTTGCCCTGGCTGATGTGGCTCAGTGGAATGAGCACCGGCCTGCAAACCAAAAGGTCACTGGTTCGATTCCCAGTCTGGGCACATGCCTGGGTTACAGGCCAGGTCCCCAATTTTGGGCCATGCAAGAGACAGCAGATTGGATCTATGTGTCTTGCACATTGACATTTCTCTCTTTCTCTTTCTCCTTCCCTTCCACTCTCTCAAAATATAAGTAAGTAAAATATTTAAAATTAATAAAATAAAATTTAAAAAAGGGAGAAATACAAATTATGACTCTAAATATAAAAAGGAACTGAGTTACAGGAACAACCTACTCTGAGAAGCTCTAAGCAATCTGAAGAAATCTGCAGATGTTAAATATCCAATAATATTTAATATGAGGTAATTATAAAAGGAAATGAACATTCAGAATACTGCATAATTCTCTAATCTGAAATCTCTACTTTCAGAGAGTCTGGGACTGAAAGTAAAATCACCTCTATGCCCTTTACCCAATTATCTTCAATGGAAAACAATTGCTTTTTAATATTAGAATCAAGGATACTCAAGTATATACCTTGTTGAGCTCTTCTATCCTCCTGATTAAGTACGGGTTGCTGGAGGAATTCTCAAAGTAGACATAATCTGTAATTAAAGGAAGTAAAGAGCTTAATCTTTTCAACAGAAAGTTCACATTTGTGGATCTATGACTTTCTACATTAGGCAATTCACACTCAAAATGAGGCATGTAATTCATTCCCTGGTAAAAACAAACTCAGTAATGCAACCTTAATATATTCTCCCATGTGCCTACTATTCAGACCCTTATTTTCCTGGCATGTTCATTTCAATTAATGTTTTATCAAGTTCTGGACTCCTGTCCCACACATGTCATCTCTTTAATAACAAAGACACCTCACGTCATCACTGAGCAGTCAGAGCTGACAAACAAGTGTCTTTCACACTATAACCACTTTTACATCTTTTCCCTCCAATCCAATTTGCTCTGGAGTACACTTCTCATATAAAACTATTGGCCTAAGACAAATTCAGAGCATCTTGAAAGGCTTGGCAACTCAAAGCACATTTCAATCATCAACTTAAAGAGGAAATCAGGTGAGTGGATAGAGTAAGGGGAAGCACATTGACAAACTTTTCCACAGCTCTATCTAGAAGATGAGGGGCAAGGGCAGGCGCCCACTTTCTAAGAGACACAGGTCTCCGAGGTGGTATCAAGAGTCTTTATTCATATCTTTACCGTATGTAATCAAGGTCCATTTAGAGTTCTGTTATTTAAAAAATCGCTGCAGGCCTTTAACAAACAGTGTAAAATTTTCAACTGTGGCTTCTTCTCTCATGCAATAGGTTCACTGGAAACTGCCCACTGTGTGTTTGTTTATTTGAGAGGCTGGGCTGCATTGTTGTCTATCTTAGTAGCTCTTTCCTGTCTCTCTTCTGCAAAGTGGCCTCATTCAGGCAGGCCATTCCCAGCACCATCCATCAGGAGCTCAGCTAATGAGCAGAGAAGCAAAAGCATGTCTCACAGACAAACACGCCACTTATCTGAATTATTATTTTACCAGGAAAGAGGGAGGAGGGCGTCGTGAGTAGGGAGAAAGTTTGTTTGACCTTATTTCTCTCTTCTGCAGAAGGCTGGGAAGGAGGCGGACAGGAGAGCAAACGTCCAGGCGGAGCTCAACTCCCCCGCTCTGGCTGCGGTGCCCTGGCCCCACTAAGCCCCATTCTTGGGGGGCAGGACAGCAACCAAAGAGGGTGTGAGGAAGGAGAGGTGCTGGGCCCTGTCCCCGCAAACAGGCCTGTCCAGATGGGCCCCCCTCACCCACACCCCCGCCTCACACTCCCACTGAAGATAAGTAGAAGATGGGAAGGATGTCCCCCACCCTGTGCAACCCCCACTGCCTAGAAGCCACGCGAGGAAAGACAACCCTATTAGGGGGCTCGACGGTCCCTACCCCCATGGGAGTTTCACGGAGGGGCGTCTGATAATTCACGCCCCCAAGTACAGGCCTGACCCTGAAACACTGGGCGGGTGGGGGGGGGGTGGGCCTGGGCCCCTGGCGGGCCCCGGCGGGGGAGGGGGAGGGGAAGGTGGCGGGGTAGGGAGCCCCGGCCCCTCTACGGGCCCCGGCGTCCCCCCGCCCCCCGCGCCCTCAGTCCGGGCGCCCGTGCTGCCAGCGGTTAGGGTGAACTCGCCCCGACCTCGCCCTCCCGGAGCCCGCTCCCAAACGGGCCGGGTCGGGCCGAGCCTTCCTACCTCCGACCCGGTACATGTTGGCCGCCATGTCCGCCCGCCCGCCCGCGGAGCCCGAGCCGAGCCGAGCCCCGCCCGCCGCCGCCGCCTCAGCCGCCGCCGCCGCCGCCGCCTCAGCCGCTGCTGCCGCCTCGCCGCAGGGGGGAGGGGAAGGAGGGAACGAGGGGAGGGGGAAGTGAAGGGGAGGGGACGCCGCGGGGTGGGGGCAGGTGCGGGCTCCCAGCCCCAGGGCAGCGCGGCCCAGTGGGCCGGACCAGGGGAGGTCGGAGCGGTGCCTGGCCAGCAGGGAATCGGGGAAGGGGACGGTCTGAGGGACCTTGCTGGAAGTGGAGGCTCCTAGGGTAAGGGTCCTGACCCAGGGGGAGGCCAGCACTCGCAAATGTGGACCAGGGCCCATTAGAAAATTGGGGTGGGAGCAAGGGGTCAGCCTCTCCGGAGCCCCTACCGCTCTACCCAGGTACCCTGTCACCTGCCCACCCGGAGACAGGTCTGTCCCTCTGGGAACCCCAGCAAAAGTGACCTCGAGCACGTAGGTTCCAGTCTTAAGGCAAACACGTGGATACAAATAAGTGCACAATGCAGGGTGCCTTCCTTGTGGCGATGTTAATAGGGCTTGTTGGAGCCTCTAGGCTCAGGGGCCAGGAAGCCCCACCACGTGCTTCCAGCTTCCCAGGCAGAGACCCAGCTGGGGACCAGGCTAGAAAAACTGGCTCCTTTCCAAGTCCGCCCTAACTGCATTGGCCCGTCTATCAGCGTTTGCCCCAAAACTGGGTTGAGCAGAACCCACTCCCCCACACCAGGAGGACTTGCCTCTAAACAGTCCCTATATACAGCTCTGCCCTGCCGAGAGGAGAGGGTGGGGGGGAGGGTGTTCGTTGTTCAAAAGGATAACTGGGCTCTATGGTTCACCATCACCACCTCCAAAGGAGGGTATGCTGTCAATCCGCGTGCTGTTTATTGTTGGACTGTTAACTTGGTTGTGTGCCTAAAGCTTTTACATAGTTATTATTTTTCCCATGCTGATTCTCTAGACAATCGCTGTTTGCTCAGCTTTCATACGCTCACAGAAATAAAAAAACAAGGAGAGTTTAATCTTAGCTGACTATCCCTCACACGAACACAAACAACTTTCTTTAAAGAAGCCAATCCATTCCAGACTTCTCCCAGACATTGTTGTGTAATAAACAAGAAGACTGCCCTGGCGAGGTAGCTCAGTTTGTTGGAGCATCCACCTGATGCACCCAGGTTGCTGCGGATTCAATCCCCGGTCAGGGCTCATACAGGAATCAGCCACCGAATGCATAAAGTGGAACAAATTTTTCTCCAAAAATCAGTAATTTAAAAAAAATTTTAAGTAATAAATAAGTAGACAAACAAACATGAAGATGATCCCTTACTGCTATGGTTTTTTTGTTGTTCCTGGGGATGCGGAGCTGTGTGTTGTTGACTCTGGGTTTGGAGGTCTGTGCAGGGATGGGAGGTGTCCCCAGAAAATAAAACTGTGTTTCGTTTGCCTGTTGATGGCATTTGTGTTGGTCCATTATGACAAATGTTTGAGGTGAAAAAAGTTTCTAGATATCTGAAGCAAAGTCAAAAATAAAATAAGCAAAGCACCTTTGCCTGACTTACCTTGATTGACTGTGTGACCCAAGATTTTTCATCTGTTAAAATGGGTACACTAACCCCACTGCGCAGGCTGGGGGGGAGGGGGGGCGGGGGGAGGATCAGTTGTGCAGATTCGGAAATGCTCTGTAGAGCACTATGCAAATAGCAGGTGTCTGTTGCTTTTCTTCCCCCTCCCCCGCAACTTGAGAAAGTTTCAGATTCCCAAGGGTTTTATACCATGTGTCAAATTGGGAGCCTGCAATCAACTCTTTTGACCCAAAGACAACAAGCAAGTGTTCTGGTATACACACTGCATAGCTGTTGTTTATCATCATTTTATTGGAGATCCCATCAAAAATGTATTGTGACTTAATCTGACGTCACTCATCACTCCATGTCTGAGCTGCCACATAAGTAAGTTGAATAAGTTACCTGGAGTCATCCAGTAAACTGGCAGCAGACAAGGACTTTGTCTATGAAACTTCAGTACCTCCTAATACCAAAGAGGTATGCACATCAGGGAGTTTGGCAGATGTGTTTAGACTAAAAGACTCCCTCCAACCAGACAAAGAAGGGTGGAAAAGCCTGCACATTCAAAGAAAGCAAAGGCACTTCTACTTTCTTGTCATCAACCAGCCCAAACTTTACTCTTAGTTTAGCTCTTTAGCTTTAAAATCTTGAACAAATTACTTAACTCCTCTGAGTCTCAAGTTCTACAAAATATAATTAGCGATTGACACCTACAGCAAAGGCTTGTGCTAAAAATTAAATATTTAAAGTGTTTGGCACATGCTAAGAGCTTCATAATTATTAGGTTTCTTCTCTCTATTCCAGCCATCCTCATTACAAAGGAGTGTCTCTCGGACCATGCCAGGAATTTGAGGGCAAATCCATCTCTCCCATGGGTAAAATTTCCTAAGGAGGCTGTTTTTATTGAATAACTAGATAAAGGGCCCTGGTTGGTATGGCTCAGTGGATTGAGTGCTAGCCTGTGAACCATAGGGTCACCGGTTCAATTCCCAGTCAGGGCACATGCCTGGGTTTCGGGCTGAGTCCCCAGTGCGGGGCTCATGAGAGGCCACCACACATTGATGTTTGTCTCCCTCTCTTTCTCCCTCCCTTCTCTAAATTTTAAAAAAAATATTTATTTGTTTACTTTATTTGTTTATTTATTTTCAAAGAGAGGTGAAGGGAAGGAGAAAGAGGGGGAGAGAAACATCAATGTGTGGTTGCCTCTCCTGTGTCCCCTACTAGGGACCTGACTGGCAACCCAGGCATGTGCCCTGACTTGGAATTGAACCAGCAACCCTTTTGATTCACTGGCCCACGCATAGTCCACTGAGCTATACCAGCCAGAGTTAAATAAATAAAGTCTTAAAAAAAAAAACAGATAAGGGATTGCCTAAAAGCCCAGGGCATTTTCAGCATCCCACCATGGAGCTGAAGAGAAGTGCATGCTGTAAGAGAGCTATACATGAGACATAGAATTGGTTTTTGTTTCAACTTCACGGTGAAGTTTCACACATGCAAAAAATAAATAAATAAATAAGATGGGGCTGGCCACCAAGTCTGGAAGCTTCCTCACATTGACCTCATGAAAGAAGCCTGGTGGTCTAGAATGTAATTACAGAAATCTGAAACTGGTGCCAGGCTTTAGGTAAGGAACTCTATGTTGTTTGGGTGTTCTGTGATCTCTCTCTCTCTCTCTCTCTCACTCCACCAACTTATTTTGTTATTTATTAAAATTCTTTTGGAAAAAAAAACAGAGCTGTTCTAAGGAGGCCCTGGTCATTAAAGGAAGATGATTTTGTCCCAGGAAAAATGTAGGTATGTGACAACAAGAATTAAAGCAAGGGTTGGGGGGGGGGGAGGGGGAGAAGAAAGAAATACAATAAAGATTAAATTTTTTAAAAAAAAGAATTGAGGTTCGATTCCCAGCCAGGGTACATTCCTGGGTTGCAGGCCATAACACCCAGCAACCGCACATTGATGTTTCTCTCTCTCTCTCTCTCTCTCTCTCTCTCCCCCTCCCTCCCTTCCTTCTCTAAAAGTAAATAAATAAAATATTAAAAAAAATAATAATAAAAAAAATAAAAAATAAAAAAAGAATCGAAGCAAGGGAACCTGTAAGGGAAAGGAATTAGAGTCTGGAGATGCTTCTCCTCCCATCGATCCTTGTGCTAAAAACAGGAAACCCAGGACCAAACCCAGACTGTCCTGCTTTTTAGAAGTGTGTGTTTTAGGGTTCCAACATGCCCTCGAAGGCGGTAGCTAGCTCAGCTATTTGGTTGCACCCACAGGAGATTCCCTAGTGACAACATTGGTGCCAGGTAGTGAAAAGGGGACTGAAAGTCACAATGGGGAATAGATGAGCCCCAAGAAGGTTAACCCCGACTCACCTGCCTCCTCCTCTCCTGCACAACCACTCCCTCCCTTAAGCATTAAACCCTCAAGACAATGATGTTCTGATCAGCATCAAACCATCTTAGGAACAGAGCCTTGGGTCTGTTGACCACAGAGACAGAGTTTTTGTCAAACTAGAGATAACATCCAGGCCTCAGTTGTGATTCCCTTTTTCAGCATGTAGAGAGCTGTGGATTTGAATGAGAGATGTCTGGGAAGTGTAGGGTGTGGGGCAAGGAAAAGAATCCTAAGGGACAATAGGAAGCACTGAAGGGATATATCAGGGAGAGTTTATAGAAATGACCCGGGCTGCAGGAAAGAAAAAAACAAGTGGAGATGAGGCAGAATAGCAGGAAGCTCAGAAAATTCCTTGGCAAAAGGAATGGGGAAACTGAGACAGAGAGCTGATTCAAACTGGTTTCATCCAGCACCCTGACTCACCAGTCTCCTGCATGACCACTCCCTCCCTCAAGTCTTAAGCCCTCAGGACAATGAGGTTCTGATCAACATCAAATAATCTGAGGAACGAAGCCTCAAGTATGTTCACACAGAGACAGAGTTTTGGTCAAACTAGAGATAACATCTAGGCCTCAGTTGTGTTTCAGCTCCAGACCCAGAAAAGCAGCAAAACCAGATGAAGTGTTACCATGGCTGACATCAGGAACAGCTGCAATGAGCAATGACCCCTAGTCCAGGCCAATCAGTAGGGACCTCGACCCTGACCCTATATGCTCATTTTGATGAATTAGCATACTAAAAGACACACCAGGAAAGCTGATGACTATTCTGTTCAGACCCTCCCCTGAGACCTTCCCTAAAATTCTTGACTTTAGAAAACAGATAAAGCTTTTAAGACAAAGGAACCCAGTGTTCACGTGCACTTGCATACTCCCGAATTCATCTCTATTTCTTTCCCTCTCTCTCTCTCTCTCTCTCTCTCTCTCTCTCTCTCACAGGGATCCCCAACCCTTGAGCCACAGACTGCTACAGGTCGCTGGCCTGTTAGGAACAGGGCCATAAGCAAGGCTATCCTGAGCGCCACCTCCTATCACCCCACCCCACCCCTTCCACAGTGGGCCAGCGAGTGAAGCTCACCCTCCTGTCTCCGC